CTCATCATTTCCTTCACCTGCTCCCCCCACTGACCAAACTGTGCAGCTCTGCAACTGCATCCTGGCCAATCCTCACCCTTCTGCCCCCAACCCTCACCTCCTTGAACCCCCAATATGTTTTTCCCAATAAAAAAAAGATAAAAAAAAAAAAAAAAAAAGAATTCGTTTACTTGTATCATTCGAAGGAACTCTAGAATTCAACTGCTAGCCAAAAAAATCAGTAGTTTGAACCTACCAGCTCCTCCAAAGAAGAAATATGGTTTAAATTACTTATTATTTTGATTGGATATTCTCTTTTATAAAAGATTTACAACCTGTGAAGCCTTGTAGTTGCTATAAAACAGAATCAACTCAATGACTGCAGGCTTGTTTTGTGGTGTTTGTTTGGGTTTTGCTTCATTCCTAAACTTACAGTCACTCTGGATATAAAACAAACTCGGAAATTTCTCTACCAGAGTTCTTACCTATCATCCTGCCACTGATGTTCTTTTGCAGCTCCTTGAAGAGAGGACGTAACTGTCTCCGCACAGATTTCAAGGTGTCTTCTAGGAAGTCTGTGAAGCTCAACCAGGTCTGTAGCTTTGACTCAATAAAGTAGATGGAAGGTGGAGCTTTTTCCTCCTGTTGTCCCAGCCAATCACTAAGAACTGACAGTGTTTTATGTTATTACAGCTTGGATGCAAGAATTCTATTCCAAGTGAAAAGTAGAACATGAACTTAATTCTATTTAAATAGAGTTTAATATCCTTTATCATTAGAAGATTAAGACCCATAGTTTCCTTTCAAAGGTGATATTAAAAGAATCATAAAGAATTATAAATGTATACCTATTTTTTTATTGACAAGGTTTGGCATATATTTAAAACCAAATATATATAGCTACTGAGTTATATATTGGAAAACACAGCAGGCACCTAAGAATGTACATCCTTTTCTTTCTTTTTTGTTGTTGCATACCATGGAGTCATCTCCAACTGGCACAGGAGGAGATTGCCCCGCCTTCTCCAACAGGGCATCTGGTGGATTTGAACCCTGTGCCTTTGGGATTGCAGAATGTACATCCTAAAAATGAAAATACAAGATATTCTTCTGCCTGTTTCTCCATCATGAAATACAGGGTCAAGCTCGTTTTAGCTGATCTGTATGTTTCTTATAGTTTGTGAAGGTTGTTGTTGTTGTTCTTGTTATGTGCCATTGAGTC